TAAATTTTAAGTGGTTAATGCAGAAACTACATACATAGAAATTTATTATTTCTAATTAGGAAATTTTTATTTATTTTTGGCTTTTATCATTTGTATATAAAGTTACGTTTATTGTAAAATATCGTTATACACATTTATTTTCAATAAACGGAGACATATGGTATCTGTGGTACAATTATGAATAGAATATGATATACTATTTTTGTAATATTTGTAATTTACCTGCTCTTGTATTTTAGTACAATACTTATAAAAATGTTATTATTTTTTCAGATCAAAGAACTTGTTCTTGACAATTGTCGGAGCACGCATATAGTAGGTCTGACAGATGAATTTGTTGCATTAGAATCACTAAGCCTCATCAATGTGGGTCTTACCAGTCTAAAAGGCTTTCCAAAGTTGTCAAGTCTTAAAAAGGTAAGCAAAAAGCATATCTATTATTGTTATCTTAAATGTAATCTACAAAGTATTTATTTCTTGCAAACTTTTAAGAATAACATATAGTGGCACTTTTTATATCTTAAATAAAATGTAATCTTGAATATAAAAGATGAATTGAAATCAATACAAATTACTATTATTTTTTATAGCTGGAACTTAGTGACAACAGAATTTCTGGAGGTTTAAATCTTCTTCAGTCAAGTCCCAAGTTAACTCATCTCAATCTTAGTGGAAACAAGATCAAAGATCTCGATACACTTCAACCTTTAGTAAGTTTCGATTTCTTTTTTCGCGTAGAATCACCCCCTTTCCGCTTGTACCACCAGTTACCAACCACCCTGTACATATATATATGTCGGAGAAGAGTCAGGAACAGGGTGGTGGGCATTTGACAGACCTCCCTTGGAGTTGGCCAGCGTTGTGTTATAACGAAGATACGGCCTGATACTACGAGTATGAACACTACCGATCCGACAATCAACAGCGGCGATTAGGCACTAGCGACACTAGTGATGATGGTCTTAGGTTCGATAACGAGTCCACGGTCAACGGGAGGATAGGTATACTTGCTCTAACTCAAACGTGTACTACTCCCTTCGCCGATGAGATCTCGAGAAAAAAAAAATTTTTCGTCCCAATGACGTTACCGAGGCCAACTATGGTGGGGTGTCTAAGTACACAAGATCCTCGGATCGACGTCGCTGTAGATTGGTCGATTTGAGACAAAAGCTGCCTGTCCGTTTGCACAGATCTTAATTGCCGAAAAACCCAGGTTTTATAGCGGGTCCTCGGGCTAACCAGACTTGTGCTGTGTACGTGCCTCAACATCAGGTATTCATTGTCCGAAGGAACCGTTGGCATGTTTTACTGTCGGGTACCTCTATGGGTATTTCCTTTAATGAGAGTCATAACATCACTCTGCACCTTTGTTAGAGCGCCCTTCCCGTTGACCGCGGCTACGTTTGGCGACTGATGGTCGCCTTGAGCCCAAGTTTATTATCACAAATCGCAAACAAGTACAATTAGGCAGGATGACGGCAAATTGTTTAATTACAACTGTAAACTTTAATTACGATTTTACGGATTTTCCCGGAGTTCCAGGGGAAGATATCTGGTGTCCTTCCATCCTTCCATCTCCGATATATATATATATATATATGCTTTTTGTAAGTATCAATAGATATATTAAAAATTGTTTTTCTTTGCAGAAGGAGTTTAAAAATTTAAAAAATTTGGATCTCTTTAATAATGAAGTGACAAATTTGGACAATTATAGAGAGAAAGTTTTTAGCCTTATTCCCAGCCTTCGATGTCTTGATGGGTATGTAATGCTAAAGAATTGTTTCATTTGTCTGGTTTGTTTTTTGCAAATGCATTGAAAGATAAAATTAAAAATATTATGTTATATAGATTTGATACAGACGATTGTGAAGTAGATGATAGTGAAGGAGAGGATGATGAAGTAAATGGGAATGAAGATGGAGATGGAGATGCTAATGAGGAAGATAGTGAGGAAGGTTAGTTAAAAGATGAAAATTAGGTTAAACATTTATTAAAATAACAAAAAACAAAGTGAAGAAAGAGATTTATGTTTTAATTACAAATATTTAACTTTCTAGTTTCAGATGAAGAAGAATTTGTCTTTGAGGAGGGTGATGTAGGATTAGAAGCTGTATACAAGGATGGTCTTGAAGTAAGTTATTCATGTTTCAAACTTTAGACTTTTTACTGTATACAAAATGTAATAATTTCGCTATAAACTACATTTTAATTTAAAGATACTTTAAAGATGATTATTAATGTTGTGGCTTTTTATATCTTTTGATTAATGGATGCATTTATTTGATTGTTATAATATAGGATGAAAGTGATGAAGACGACTTTCTCTGTGACGAAGAAGAAGAAGAAGAAGATGATGACAATGAAGATGATGAACAGGATGAAGAAGAAGGTAAATAAGTTTTTTGATTCAGATAGATCCATTCGTTTTATTGTTGTTACTGAAATATTAATCTACTATCTTAAATATTTTATTATAACTGCCATCTATCTATAACTTATCTATAACTGTCATATAAAATACCTTAAAATGAACTATATTATTCTGTCTCAAGTAGTCTTTCTTGTTATTTAAAAAGGAAATAATTTTCGTAGAGTATAATGCCATAAATTTTATTACTTTTTTATCGCGTTATATAGAGTCATCTCCTGCTCGAGGTAAGAAGAGAAAACATGAAGATGTGGGAGACTCAGGAAACTAGAATTACAAAGAGCAGGCTTCTGATTCTGTTGAATGAGTGTAAAATTCATATAAATAATAACAATAATTGAGCCGCCGAGTGAACATCTGGGAATCAAACTAATTGACCGACCAATGACAGACTACAGTTAGTGGTGTGAATTTATCAGTAAATCATTGACTGACGAATTGTCTGTGGAACAACAAACGATTACCATTATGGAGAAGAGGAATGTGAATGAAAATGAAAGGGGGATAATGATGGGATAAAATAGGACTGCATTCCAGCTGGGCACAGCGCGTTTTAGTTATACTAACGATATTTTATATAGAGTATATAGTTAGAGTATTAGTGGTGTTGCATAGTGGGTGAAAGATCACATATTGAATGACTTGAAAAAGGCAACAATGGAGTTTTACACTTGAAGGAGCGTATTTGTCTGTTAGCTCCAGTCGGCCAAAGGCTGGTCACGCTGGAATGCAGTCATCGTTAATCAGTACTAAGGTTACATAAGTTACATTTTAAATACATTATTATTGTACCATGAATAAGTATAGAGTAAATGAGGAACAACTTTTGTACAGGTTTACACCATACATTGAGGTGCATTATGCCTCTGTGATTTTTGGGACAGAAAATAAAGAGATAAATATATGTTGCTCATACATTGAGCTTATATCTATGAAAGACGTAAGGTAGGAATTTACATCATAAGAATAAGGAAGTAAAGAAAAAAAAGTATGTACATTTCGTTTATTAGAATAATAATAGTGTTTGAAATGTATAATTGGTATGAACAAAAACAAATCAGTTTAGCACATAAATGGTATTTTAGTATTTTCTGTGTTTCATTGTTTTGATATAAGTTAAATAGTTTTGATATTTTTCAAGATATCTTGAAAGGACTGTGAAGTAATATAAGAACACAATTGATATTGTGGTATTCTTGTAATTTTTAGTAAATTTTAAGTTCCAGGTGTTTATATATAATGGCATTAAGCTGCACATAACATGGCTGTTAAGATTATTGTTATTTACTTTTGGGCATTCCATGTGCTACGTGTTATGCTCTAATATGAGAAATTCATTTGATTAATGACATCATTGTAATATCTTCCCGTTTACAGTTGCAAGCATTCAGTTGCAATGATTAAATGTTTTTTTACATCAGAAAATCTGTAGAATTTTTTATTATTACGATTAAATTACTTAATGGATGTGTATTGTTTATATGTAACAACAAGTCACTAAATATTGGAATATGATATTAAACATAAAGAAAAGAATCAAAATTACTGTAAATCAATAATAACCTTTAATTTCTGTCTCTGAAGTTACCATAGCGCTGACACATCTCGTGATGATTAAAGTGCGAAGTTAATGGGTAATGATTATTAATATTATTATTAATATTAAATTACAATTATGATTTTTAAAAAGTAACAAATATTTACACTTGCGCTTTCGCACTTTTGAATTGTATTTAAAAAAAAGTCAGAAACGCAAAATTTAGATTAGAGTGGAAAGATAAAGTATCGAGAAATAGGCGTAAAAGTGAAAGATGGATTAGACGATGTAGTTAATGGTGAGACTGTAGCAAGTGGATTACTGGACGGACTACCAATTAACTACGTGATCGTGAGTATGGATGGGAGTGAAATAGCGAGTGAGAGTGCAAGAGAAGATCGGTTTTATAAGAAAAAATTATGGTAGAGTCGAGGATCTGGCGCCTCTTTGTCGCCAGTTTGGTTATGGCCTTATCCAATTTTTCCAAGACTAAAGCAAATTTATATTAGGTACAATGAGTATATGACATGTACAGGTCCAAATCTGTAAATTTCCAATCTGCAATTTGTAATTGCGGCTCGCGCGGATGTATTAAAAGTTAAATTATAAATAATTAAAAAGTTAAATTATAAATAATTAAACATCCCGCGCGTCCCGCGACACATACACTTTTGTCAATTGCAATTTTGGATAGACCATTTACGTAAGGGAATCTATCACCTTCTATTATCAGATTTATTACATCTCTGTATTGTCTGTCTGTTCCGTTGTTAAAGTGGATCTTTATCATAACGTTTGTTTATTTCGAGCAATCCTCATCACAAAATAAGAAAAAATAATTTATTAATAAAATCATTTACAAATCAAGGATGATGTGTGATAAATATTATTAATATGTTTTCCACTCTCTACATAATCCATATTTATATATATAAAATATTAAGAATTTTATTTTTTCTTTTATTTTCCTCTGTAATTCATGTAATATGTATATGGCATCTATATATATACATATAACGAAGATGTAAGCAGTAAGAAATATTTTGATTTTGAATATAAAAATCATAATAATTAAAATCTTAAATATTATATATAGTTATGACTTTTATATTCAAAATAAAAACAATTTTGTTTTAACGTTTTCGTTCTTTCTGTGTCTGAAATCATTTATATAACTAATAGTTGAAATATTTAAAGTATCACTCAATTAATTTTATATTTTAGGTTTAATTTTGTTTTTAATCTAAAAAAGGGTATTTTTATGTGCATTAATTTATAAAAATGTATTATAAACATGTTTATACTACTCATATAACGTTTAATATACATATATATATATATAAGTATATTTGCTTTGACATTATTGTAACCTTATACACATAATTAAATACTTATATCGTTACAGTATACGTATATAAAATTTATAATTCTTAAGAATCTATTTGGATGGTAGATTAATAAATTAATATTTGAGAAGTTTGTACTAAAGTTTTCAATCGTATAATTAATGTATATTTAAAGTAATTTTTCGACTCAGTATCCTAAAATTAGTTTCAAGTGAATTTTAAGCCTATTGGATTTTTTTCATTCATCTATCTTTACCTTTGTTCTACTGTATCAACAGGTAAAATACGCGAGAGCATGTACGGTGCTGCCAATAGGCGACGCCCTGTGAAAGTGCGGTAATTTATGCTCGGCGCGCAGTTTCGTGTCGAGTCTTCAGTGTTTCTCCGCGCTTCCGTTCGTGCGTTTAGGTTGTGGTTCGTTGTGGAAGCTAGTAACGTCGGTTTCGAAGTTGAAATTAGTGTTTTGCGGAGAGAAGTAACAAAGTCATCGTTTTTTAAGTAACGTGAAGAAAATGGCTGAAAGTAAGGGTGCGTTGATTGCGAAAACAGTGCAAAAACATGCAGGCAGAGCGAAGGAGAAGGTAAGTGCTGCGAAAAGACATACATACATTTGTACGTTCCTAACAGGTTTCTTCGGAGAGCATGTCAGTCCTTTGTACGCTGCGAACAAAATTGTGCTTTTACAAATCGTTTCAACCCTCGGTGCTACATATTCTATGTTTCAACGTGTTTGAAAGAATGGATATTGCTATTTAAATGTTCCAGTGTGTAGCCTCATAACCCCCCAGATAATCTATTTCGTTCGTATAAGGTTGTAAAATTTGACATTTCATTGACAACACGTACTTATGTATTGTAAGAGAGGCTGTATCCGAATCTGCGAAGAAGCCGGTAACAATTTGTTGGATTTTCTTGTCGCTCGTACAGAGGTGACTTATATAAGCGGTAAACATGTACAAGTTATGTAGCAGAGTTTCATTTAAAATGACAATTATGCAACTCTTGGGCCTAGTTCAGCGTAATAATGCATATGTTACAGGTGCATCTTCAGTGTTAGTCCGCACACTATTCAACGAAATACGTTGTTGTAAGCCGTAGATTATCACGTGACACGAATATTTTACTCTCTGTCGAATGCTTACATTTTCAAACTTGCGAATTTCTTAAAATAGAATGAGCTACAATCCCGCCAGTGAATATAATCTTAGCCTTTGAAATCTTTTTTCCGTTATGTATTTTTTCAAAATTATTTACATCGTATTATTATAATGCACGTGTTAGCATACATTTCAGTTCTTGGAAATTACAAAAAATCGAGTTAATGTAATAATACGCTATACACTTCGTCAGTGTATTTTACCCAATTCTTTTTATAATATTATACGTTAAATAATTAAATTAAATACATCGAATCTATTTATAATTAATACATTAAATTTTATACATTAAATTTACACGTATTCTCTGCAATTAGAAGTAGAGTTGTGCTTTTTACAACGTTATATATTATATAACCGATTCCTGACAAGAGTTTCGTTCGAGTACGTTTTATTTTTTAGGAGAAAACGGATGACATATCGTTAGTTTCGTCCAGTTTGTACCTAACAATACTGTACGGTACTACATAATACACGTTAGTACGTAACGCTTGTATTAAAAACGTGTATTGAACGCTATTGGCCAAAATTTTTATTACTCAGGTATTGCTGTTATCGTATATTCTTGCTGCATCGGTAAAGATTATGAATAAATTTAAAATTTATTAAAACATTTAAAATTTTACAATTTAGACCTTGAACCAACATTTTTAAAAAGTTTTTCATTAATAGACTTGCCATTATCTTTGAATATAATGTAACCTTTTCGTGTAACGGATTCATCGTATTTAAACTTTGGAAAAATATTTATTAATGAGGTGCAAGTTTTATCTATGCGATGTATTATTATCAATTATTTTGAATTCAACTTTCATTAATATATTTGTATGCTTAGGTAACGTAAAATATACATAAATATTATATTGGCTGTTACAGAGAAATGATTCAGTAAGATAAATTTATCACATTTATTTATTTATTTATCAGTTATCACATTTTTCAACAACTTGTTTTCTTTTATTTTCAACTTACTTGCCTGTTTTATCTAAATTTCCTGATTAAATTATAAGGAGTTATTGACCCACTGTAAAATGACCTGGAAATTAATTGACGATAGGGAAAGATCGTAACACATACACCGTTAGTCTGAACAGTATTTACCTTCCCTGTATTATCACACATTTAGAGATTTTATCAATATACCTTTCACGGTTTCCTTATAACATTTATGTGTACAATTGACGGTCGAATTGTATCATTGTATAAAGTAAATAATGGATATATCAACTTAATCTAGAATTTCATTTAAGACTATAGTTCCTTGTAACGTTTTTTATGCACAATATAAATGCAGATTATAGCACATAGTTATAATAATTAGTTATAATAGTTTAAATAAAATAATAATTTAAATAAAAATGTCCTACGTATAATAAAAGTTAAAGAACAGATTTGTTATATTTACCAGGAAAACGTATAAACGTTATTGTACAAAAATATATCTATTGATCCTACTTAATTCGTTAACGAATAAAACTAAATAAATTAAATCGTTGTTTCGTTTTTCCAATCAAAGTAAAGATTTTAAACCAATCTCTCTTTCTATTCAATTTCAATTTCTCCAAATTTCATATAATTGTAGCATCTAGATGGAAAAAAATAGTAGAAAAATTATTCAGCAAATTCTTGGAACTCCCATTCGTCATTAAACTGTGACAGTTTAATAACGTGGATTAATTAAAAGGAAATAACAAATGAAGCGTCTCGTTAACGTGATTTTGTTTCATAATATGTTAAGAACATCTTTATAAGGAAACAGCGTTCTTTAAAGGTTGAGATTAAGTGGGTCATTATATAGAGTACGCAAGTACATAACTTGCAAGGATCATTGATTCCTTGGAAGCGCGCTCGTTTTGCGTTTAGATTTTCAACGAAGGAAAACACGTCGTTGGTATTTACCTGCGATATACCGTAAGACCGTGTAATTCGTAGGTGTCTTAACTTGCTTTCGTGATGGTGGTTATACAGACTTATCTGGTAGAACCGGTCTATGGTATTGCCATGCTAGGGCTACCACTCTCGTCCGAATCGGTGAGTAGTTTTCAATTGAAAAAAAAGAGGAGAAAATCGAGCTTCCATTCGAAAACTTGTACTTAAAAATTTGTGTCAGTCGACGAGATTTAGGGAACGAGAATCGCCAATTGGTCATTAATTTATAGTCGATAAAATTAATAACCAACTATTTAAACTATACGACGTCGTCATTTTAGAGTATGAAAAATGTTTCACGATAAGAAAACAAATTTAAAGACGAGCGAGAAATATCTTTTGTTAAAAGAATTAATTATAAGTTATGATACTTGCAATGAGAATTTATTTAATTTCCGATCTTTTAACTTTCTATAGATCTCGTTGGAGAGTTTTGATGATTTTAGATAAGATCATATTGAGAAGGTTGACGAATGCCTCTTCTGAAAATATGGTTATCTTCCTCTTTTAGATAACAAGCAGTCAAAACGTTCTAAAGTTAAGTAGCTCTTCAAGGTATTCTGCGTGAAACCTTTCTAAGACTTTTCGTATACCTCGAGGAAGCTCCGTGAAAGGATTTCTTCTCGTTGTATCTGCTTCTTTATGCACAGATGTGTCATTGATTAATAATATTTTATTCGTACGAATATTATTATTTAACACAAAGCATACTATATTTGTTACGAAAACAGCTTATCGTATTGTTAAATTGTTAACGAAATATTCGAATAAAGTTGCCGAGTAATTTTATTCAAATTCAATAAAGTTAGAAAATTATTTTATGATATTCAGCGATAAACATGTACGTAATAATCTTCCAAGTAAACGAGTAGCAAAGATACGAACATTTCTTGACAATGAAATTTCTATTTGAATTTACCGTATCACAATAAAATACCAAAACGTAATATACTTTCCAAATTCCTATTTAAAAGTCCTGGGGTTACTTTGCTCTCGATACGAGTTGCTTATGTTATTTTCAAAATTTTCATTATGGCCATTGATAAACTTTGCTCCAAAACCTTTCTCAAAAAAAAATTAAGCATCCCGTTAGCTGTACACGAAATCATAATACGTTCACATATAATACTGTACTAACAATAATAAACCAAAGTAACCAAGCTATACCTACTGAAAGCAAGAATATCATCGTCCAAAAACCTAAAGTCTTTAAACAGGATTTTGCCGTGTCAGTTTACGTTTACGAGCAATTGTCAAAGGTACGTGACATTAAGATTTTTATGAAAAATCTGGCGTCGATAAAATACGTTCGGGCTAACATTGAGAAATTAGCGGTCTCGATGGCCAGACAGACTTAGGTGCTTTTTCATACGGCAAAGTTGTACAGATAAGCCGGGATCGATGTTCCAAAGGAAGAAGGGACGATAGATTCGATCGCGAGAGCATTGGCACTCGCACGTAAAAAGTTCAGCGAGTCACTCGAGGCGAGGAAAGCCAGTGCTCCTATGTACTAGAAACCAAAGACCATTAACACAGCAAACGATGTTGCGCCTTTTCTCGTGCTGTAGAAATGCAGCGTATCGTGCACTGTATCGGAATTTAGCTTAGCATTTGCACGAGTGCCGGTGAAACTGAGAGGACGATTGGTCGTCTGTAACGAAGATGGAAAAACGGGAGTCGAATGTGATCCGTGATGCTGCGAAGGACGACAGAGGAAGTTCAAATGATCGGTAGAAATTCGTAAAATCGCAATAATATTGGCTTGGCAACTAAGTGATTGCGGATTTTGTCATTACGTGGTATTGACAAAATCCGCAATCACTTAGTTTCCAATAGGTTCAAAATGTTCCATGTTCCTCGTGCTGTACATGACACAATTTGAAAGTGTGCGTCCCGTGTGAAACCTCGGTTCGCGTAATTAGCATATGTAGGAATTATCAACGAATTAAAGAAGAAAAAAATGGCATGAAATACTTTATGCAATATGTACCTGCAGTTTTTGCAACTTTCCCCTAATTTCTGGAATTTCTTTCTGGGATTCTGACACGTCATTGAGGTCAACGATAGTGGATTTAAGTGGATTTTAAAAAAAAAAGGAAAAAAAAGCACGAAGAGGCGAGAGCCAGGCAACGGACCTCGTGGATCATTTCGGCAAAAGATATGGCCAAAAAAAGAAGGAAAAAAAAGAAATTAATGCCGTTTATTGTGCGCGGTACGGCTGTAATTAAGACACGACGAAGTTTTCTAATCATTTAGTTGCCAAGCCAATATCTTCGATCGTACGGTGAAAGAAGTTTCGATTAGGATTGGAAATACGTAACTGTGCATTGATATAATTCGAGCGCGGAATTTTATGCAGATTTATATCTTCATAGACACGAGCAAGGAAATGGAATTTAGATAGAGGTTGGATATTAGTTATTAAAAATTATAACGAGTACCTTTCCTAAGGATGTGCTATATATTTTCGTATACCATACGCATTCCGTACATTCTTGCATCGTAAAATTTCAAAAAAATGCATAAATATTCGCAGTCTAGTTGTAATTGGTATTTTAATTGATACGAAGCTATTTAAACACTTGTGGAAACTTTTCTGGATATGTCGGATTTATTTATTTATGTTGTGCGAAAGATTTTGCAATTTCATTAGCAATGCAGTGAAACGTGATTATCACGATTATATTGGCGAAATGAATTTGCAAATGGATGAAATTACAGGATATTTATTACGAACAGATCGAGGTATTTGAGCAGTCAATTATTCATTACGTTAGCAAATTGCAGTACTCTGATATCACCTTTGGAATTAATTATATATATATGTCTGTACTAATCATTACTTACACTGTATACTAATTTTTTAGTAAGTTTCATATTTTTGTAATCTTCTAATCGCTTTCGAATATTTTCAACGTAATCGCGATAGGCGTAGCTTGTTACGGCGCCAACCAAGCGTGTTATATTTATAAGTATTCACATAATTTCGAGGGTCACTGCATATTCTGTTATATATTTGTAATATTTATGTTATAGGTGAATTTTTTCCAATGAATCATCGTTTAAATATTTGCAGTTTGAACGTCAATCCATTCGTCCTGTTCGATACTATGTGTGCTATTAGCGAAATAAAAAGTATCTCGGACATAATTTTATTATCCGCGGAACATCGATCTACTTCGTTGATTTATGTCTTAATTATGCGATGAAAGGTTCCGGTTCCTTCGCTTGTTGATCGGTTTTACAAAATAAACCGCTCGTGTCGGACGAAGTACCAATAGATCGCATCGAAATCTTTCTTCACGTTTATTCTCTCGCTGTGCTCGTAGCAATGCACTTTATTTTCTAACCGTACCTTGAAAATATGAAAATAATGAGCTGCTGAGAGTGTTTGCACAACAGCATATCCACGTAGATTAAAGATAAACACGCAAAGAGATCCTTACTTAAAGAGAAATTCCATGCGTCAGGTACATATTAGATAAAATTTTTAACCAAATGCGAATCGCATTTGGTATAGTAGTTTATAATGTCGTGGACATTATATTATCACAAGTAGTCGATGCAAGTGTTACAAGTAGGGAAATATAAATTCTGAGATTTGAATTTTGATCTTGATTTGATCTTCATTACATGTTGGGAAACTAGTTCCATCGTGTAAAAGTATCATTTTTCTAATATGTTTTTAATAGATAAATTTAAATTCAACTAATTTATTCGAACAATTATTCAATAAGAATTTATTCAAATAGTTATTTGCTGTTTTATATATAATAATGATTTGGATTTACTATTTGAATTATTTTAATCAATTATTTAAATTCAAATAATATATTCAAACAATTATTCATTCATATTATTTGATACACATTTATTCAGATAGTTATTTGTTGTATTTGTACGTCTAATAATATACGAATAATTATTTGAATTATTTTAATCAATTATTTAAATTCAAATAATATATTCAAACAATTATTCATTCATATTATTTAATAAATATTTATTCAGATATTATTTGTTGTATTTGTACTTTTAATAATATACGAATAATTATTTGAATTATTTTAATCAATTATTAAAATTCAAATAATTTATTCAAACAATTATTTCGTATTATTTAACAAGTATTTATTCAAATAGTTATTTGCTGTATTTGTACGTCTAATAATACGCAAATAATTGTTGCAGTTTATTATTCGAATTATTTAAATAAAATTATTTAAAAATTCAAACAATTTACTCGAACAACTATTTGAATAAATACTTACTAAATAATTTAAACACAACAGTATGTAAATAATTACTTGCGTTTGTGGCATCTGCAGTCAAATCTATCGTATTAAACAATGACAATAGTATCGTATTAAACAATTTACTCAAATAGTCCGACAATCGAAACAAATGAAATTTGTAGCTGTTCGGAAAAATTGTATCGAATTCCCTGGTAAATTGAAAGAAACATTCGCAGCCGCAAATTGGTCGGCTAAGCATTTCGGCGAGGTGTTGTTCACTGGAAGCAATCCAGTTCGTAAAGTTTAAGGGGAATCGGTGGATGGTAGACGATAAAAGTGATTTCGAGTCGTGAAAGTAAATAATGGCTGCATTAAACTTTCTCGGTGTCTCAGTTCTTTTATTCAGCAGTTGACTGTTTTTCCTTGGACGGACGTATCCGTACGATGATTCTGCGCGTTTCAGCAACAAATACCGGGGGAATCGCATGAAAGTGTAGAGAGACGGAAGTCTCCATGCTCAAAGTCTCTCCCTAGGCTACGATTTCTATCGTGTCAACTTCGCCTACCAGTTACTATTCTCGTCGCCGTGTCCCGGACGCTTTTGCTTCGTGACTGCCGGCAAATATATCTACGAGCTTGCAGCTTTCGAAGACACTGCCTCACCCTTTGCAGTTCCGTTATATTCCAATTTTCCTGAAACCCAAGCCGCGATGCGTACGAAACGTAGCGATTAAATTTCACCATCCAGTCTGCACCTTGTTTTCATAATCGAAAAGTGGTCGTAGGAAACACTGCAAGCGCGAACATCGAAAAATGTTGATTTTTTTATTGGAAAGTGCCCTACATAGCGATAAGAATACCGTAGTACAGAATTTAAGTGGAATTTCTCTTTCCAAATAATTGTTAACAATGTTAGAATAAGGTGGCACAGCATCGTCTCTATACAGAAAGATGTAAATGTAAATAATTGTTAGTTACCCGTTTTTTTTTTTGGCTTCTGTCTGTGTCATACAGACGAATTAATGGGATATTAAGCTTTCTTTGCAACTAAGAGCTGGCACATACAGTCTTTTCCTCAGATACATTTCACTTTTTGATGAATTTGTTATCTACGTCGATGCGTGAGTTTTCCTTTTCTCCTGAAGACTCGTTTCTTCGCACTTGTAATGTTTTATACAAGCGGTCCCAATTTTCTGTGCACCGTCCTGGACCATTTTCGCGTCTTTCTGTGCAGAATCGTCATAAGAAGACTCTTATCGCCATACAAAGAGCGCGACAGGAAAATAATACACAATTGATATGAAATAAATAACAACAGGATAATGTCTCACTGAAATGAATTCCTCCTCAAGAATCTTGAGACAAATTGAATTACAAGTTGCATATGATTAAATAAACAATATCGATCGCCGGAACGTTCTTTCAGCAAAATAAAACATTTTTATGGATTTCTCTCGCTTGGATTTGATTTTACTTTCTCTACACATTCTCTGTACACTGCGTGCCAGTTTCACTGCGAAACCACTTCGACATCTTCGATTCTCGCAATTCCCAATAATCGCTCGATATTTGATCGCTTTTTTGTATTATTATATTTTCGTCGTTTTATATATTATATTTTATTATCGCTATTTTGTCGCTGAGAAGTTAAATATGCCTAATATTTATTCAAACATATATTTCAATAAAAATATGTATCTGGAAATTTGTCTTCAACGTGATCGATTTAAATACGTGGTGATTTAATTTGACACAGTTTAATTACTTTTAATAGCTCTGACGTGCATTCAAAATTAGCAGATCTTTATGGAATCGGGCAAAGTTTCTCAATCACCTGTTACCGATGAATCTTGTTGGCAAGAAATTATCGTATCAGCTATCGTAACTTTCCCTCAGGTTTATTCTTGCTGTTCCTTAATTTCCTTCAATATGTTTGGACGTAGTCCAATTCCAGTCGCCAGACACACGATGGAAAGCACAGATTCGAATTAATTGACGCAACTGTCGTAATTTAACGGTAAGCAACGGTTCGTTGGGCGAAAAATTATGCCGTTTGTTTTTTTCTCTGTTGCAACATATCACGAAAAATATAGAAATATCGTTTAGGAGGAAATTTTCTTTTCGAAAACGTCTCAGGTCGAACTGTTTCTTATATCAAAATCTCGAGAAAGTATTAATTACACGACTGTATCATTGTGTTGAGAAATTAATAGCATCTTCTCCGCGATAGACCTATGATGATTTTTGAAATGATAGGCGTTGACTTTCTAGAATTATACCTATCCTACTCATTTTCTTAAGTCAATTACAGAAATTACTGTTCAATATCACGCGGTCGATTTATTGATCGAAGCAGAAAGAGAAATCAGAAATGAAGAAGGGAGGAACGTTTATTTCCAGATTCATCAGTCTTTGCGTAAATTAAATCTGATTTCCTACTTACTCAAGCTAAGCAAGTTCTCGATAACGCACGTTTGGTTTAATAGGACTAACAAAAGTAAATCTATCGATCTATTAGCTTGTTCGAAAAGTTTCTTTCGTTTTATCAGGAAATAATTGTCGCATAACGTTTTTTGTTTTATGCTATTTTGTCGAATTACGTACGATACATTTTGTTCTCTTGAGATAAACTGTCGTAAAAAGCTCGTTTGCGAAAGAAAGACACTTTCCGGACAACCTAATGGAATTCCTATTCGAATGAATTATACTACTCGATGATTTGATATACCTGTGACAAAATCAATTTACTGGTTACAAGTGTTTTAATGCATTTAGAAAACAATTAATTCGACAACGCTACTATAAACAGATACAATGGATACAAAAACGTATTTGCGCATATTCTCATTTCCCAATGAGGCGATTTTTCATCAGGTTTCTCCTTCATCTCTCGTGTTATTTTTCGTTATAGCATTCAAATTTTTAAAAGCATAAAAATACTGCTAAGTAAATCTCTAATATACTTTTCGTGTCCATTGTTTGCGGAGCAATAGTCTCTCGAATAATAAAGTCACCGTATATGATAATCATCGATAAAATAATCAGGATCGAAAAACAGCAAAACTCGTTGAATTTGTACTAAACATCAGTAGCTCGCCAGAAAAAATTTAGCCATGTGACTGCGCCACGCCAGAAAAAATTACTGAAAATTCTCAATACGAGAATTGATTGTAAATATCAATAAATAAAAAAAGAAAAATAACATCAGTAGCTGTTCTAATACAGTGGCGGATAAAAGAACAATACCCTACGAATTTCAGTATTTTTTTTTATCATATTAGTAGCAGTCATCTATTCTACAGCATACAGTGTGTGCGATAATAAAATAAAAAGCGACAGTTCTTTTAGTCCTATTTGAAAATTGTTTGTAAAATACAGGGTGGTTGGTAATTGGTGGTACAAGCGGAAAGGGGGTGATTCTACGCGAGAAAAGAAGTCGAAAATATAGAATAACAATTTTTCGTTCGAGGCTTTGTTTTCGAGAAAATCGACTTTGAATTTTGGCTCGGTACGCATGCACCTTATCACGTCTCGTTATAACGGATCTCACTGTAGATCGTTGTCTCGATGGAAGAATTAAAAAAAAATTTTTATTCTGTATTTTCGACTTCTTTTTTCGCGTAGAATCATCCCCTTTCAGCTTGTACCACCAGTTACTTTGGTAACTGGTGGTACAAACGGAAAGGGGGTGATTCTACGCGAGAAAAGAAGTCGAAAATATAGAATAACAATTTTTCGTTCGAGGCTTTGTTTTCGAGAAAATCGACTTTGAATTTTGGCTCGGTACGCATGCACCTTATCACGTCTCGTTATAACGGATCTCACTGTAGATCGTTGTCTCGATGGAAGAATTAAAAAAAAATTTTTATTCTGTATTTTCGACTTCTTTTTTCGCGTAGAATCATCCCCTTTCCGCTTGTACCACCAGTTACCAACCACCCTGTATATCTAATACCAGAAAGATACTGCAGATATACTGCAGACACAAAGGTACGTTCGTTTCTCGAACAGCATCTTTTAGTTGCTTAATTGTGTTTGGTTTATTGTCGTACACTTTACAGTGCAACTTCGCTTATCCGCACCTCGTTTCTACAAACAAATTGAAACCCAACTTCGAATATACGAACTCCTAAGGGAGCCTCTTATTATTCGAACTGAGGTGGAGCTCTTATACGAACGTGTAAGGATCTGTGATATATTCTTTCTGTAAGGATTGTGTAAGGATCACGGATATATTTCGTTCTTACGTAATTTTTCCAAAATATTTATTGTCTCATACATACATCTATATATGGTATAATATTCAGTTACAAAGTGGAAAATATTTCATTCTTACTAAGAATAAAAAATCGTAATGAAAGCAAAGATCGTGTAATCGTGGAAACGAATTAAACAGACTCGGTTACGACAGTTTGTCGTATCCGAATTTGTAATGTAACGGGTGGCGATAGCTGGTGAGCCTCTATTATGCGAACTATTCGATTATGCAAATTCCCTTGTTGCCCGAACTGTTCCAATAAACCAGATTGCAATTTACTTTTAAGAAAATCCCATAGGAAGTTAACTGCGGTTAAAGCAGGTAGTAGGTTGCATAAGGTGGTCGCCGAATTACCTTGACAAAATATTTGAACGAGTTCTGCTCGCTTTTGAGCTTTGTGACGTTGTATGATTATTATTTCTTCATGTAGCCATAAAACGATTGCTAAAGCGCAACAAAACAGCTTTTCTCGTCTCTTCTTCCACATTGGCGGTAGTTTGAAATTGCCCACTTCGTACTGTCCACCTTTTACACTCTGTTTATTCACTTCTCTTACTAAATACAAATGTATCTGAGAAAATTGTGCTGTCTTTTTGTATTTCATACTTCTTTCGACTTTTCGTCGAGAATTTGAAATTGCTGAGTTTGTATCATCCCCCTTTATATTCTATTTATTCATTTCTTCTGCTGGACACAAACTCATCCCATCAAGTTCTCCTGTCTTTTTACGTTCTATTAAACTTCTAAACTTTCTTTCGTCCGCCACTGTTCTCATTTCGGACAACGTATGGCCATTCGCTTTGCGACTAGCATCCCCAATAGAATCTTGTTATCTTCGAAGGGTTGTCTGTCGGTCGTGCGAGCTAGCGCAAAGGGAGGAAAACGTAAAATGGAGAAGCGATGATGCTGGCCCGGGTCCAGCCGAGTTGGTTAACTCGGTATAAATACGGAACGGCTGACGATAAATGCAGAGGCCGCCTCTTCTTTCTCGCGCATCGTCCACCGCGCGTCTTTTCTTCTTTTCCCCCTTTTTTGCCGCGCCAACCTTCACTTTCTCCTTCTTTTCTTCGTTCCTCATCTTTTCCCTCGTCCTTTTCTTCTTCTTCTCGCCACGTTTAGAGCCGAACGTACGCCGATGATACGTAAGCGGCGACGTTTTCTTCTTACATCATTCACCGGTCGGGCTATATGCGTTGCGTGCAAACGTCACGCGAGCGCGGTGATACGCGATGACGTTGAACCTTACAGATATTAATAACCGCCGCCCGATTCCATCGTC